ACAACGCTAACGAGAACATACAGCATTTATGATTGTCTTTTACAATATTCAGTTTTGCTAAGGTTTTGCATCTCTAAAGAAATCTGAAAGATTTGGGTCATTCCTCTCCAATTGTTCTGTCAATATGTAAACTGCTCGCTTGATGGTGCGCTTATAAAATAGTACGTTCAGCGCAGAGGTGAAGCAAGTGACGCAGTGATGTGGGCAGATTTTTTTTTTTTAGGCGTGCGGGGAGGGGGGGGGGGTCCGCTTATCTGAATAGGCCGGGCAAGCGAATATGGTCGTCAATTTGGGCTCCCTACGCCCGGCCTAAAAAAATTCTGTGCGCAACCGCCTGGCTATGCCAGTGAAGTGATGCGACAATGATTTGTTCACTTACTGATTTACATACACTTTACAGCTCTAAAAAATGCGGCCCAAGGCCCCAACACTCAGCCGTTAACATTACATAAAGCCAATGGTAGAAAAGTGCCAGTATGAATGCAGCTACAACCCCCCCCAATGTTTTTTCAAGCGAGGTAGTGTTGCGGAAATGAACTTTTAACTGCAAAAGTACACTGGCACTGCAGTGGTGACAGGGGAAGCAAGAGGGTATGCAGGCGGTAATAGAGGTAATTTAGTCCGATACGGCAAGCAATGGATACGGCGAATAAGAGCAAATCATTTCTCTTTCAATAGCGCAACCACTCAACAATGTATTGTAAGAGCATTAAATCTTGCTGGAAATGCCACTCACCTGCACGCTGATGCATGCACAGTCCTTTGTCCGACGAGCGAACAGGCTTGCAGATAGCTGAAGACGTGTTTACGATGTGTTTGTTCCACCCGGCAGCAAAATCCACAACTACTTCGCGCTCCATAAAGATAAATATACACTAACCTTCATCACGAATAAGTAGAAACGCAAATCTGCGACACACACACACGATCAAAACATAGCTCACAAGCCCGCACGTCCATGTGCTCGCCGACTACAGACCAAATGAATATGAGTAGTGCGAACGCGAACCTAGTTGCGCCGAAAAAAAAAAACGTCGAGCAGTGGCAGCACAGGCGTCAGCGCAATGATTTCAGTGTGTTCTCCTAATACAATTATAAAAAAAACTGAGGTACACTAAAACCCATAAATAAACATAAAAAGTTGAGTATAATTTTATTCAGTGCTAGTCAACATAAACACTGAATAAAAATTACTTTGTAACTTACATCGTTTGCTACGCTAGCGCCACACTTGTCGTGCGGGCGCAGATGGCGCAGATTTGTCATTCTGCCCTCAAACTACACGGTGAAGCGTGCTACTAAGTGTATGGCTGATGAGAAGCGCGTCTGGGTCCGCTTTTTTTTTTTTTTCTTCTCCGATATTTGGGCGGGGGGGGGGGGGGGGGGGCTCCTTATGCACGTGTTTCGGTGCTTGATCGACTTTGACGCCCTTACTTCGCGGACGAACGGCGTGTCTAGGCTATTTTTTATGTTTTGCACGTGTTTCGGCGTTCGGTCCGCTTTGACGTGCCAACTCTCCATTCTGCTGCTGCGTGTGTTAGGTATTTGCCGTACTGTATTCTCAGGCCTTCTGTGTTCAGCCAGCGCTGCTATCTTATTATCTACGGATGCTAAAATAATCACTTTTTGGTTTGGTGAAGTTTGGCACACAGAACAAACAATAATCTGGCCCATGAATATCAATGGGGGCGGCATGCATATTTGTGTGCGGTGTCCTGCCGGGGAGTAACCGTTGCGTGACGAGAGCATTTACAGCGGTTCCTCCTTCCGTTGCTCCCTTACAAACTTAAGATGAATACAGTTGCTCCCCCATTCTCGAACAAGTCGGCCATCTTGTTCCGCTTGGTTTATTGTATGGCTGATGAGAAGCGCGTCGGGTCCGCTTTTTTTTTTTTTTTCTTCTCCGATATTTGGGCGGGGGGGGGTTTATTGTCCGCAGCGTGGTTATATACATTGGCCTTAGGGAGGGTGAAGGGAGGGGGGAAAAGGGAGAATGAAGGCGCACAGGGCCCAAACGAAATGGTGCGCGCGCAGCTGGTTTTGCTGGCGTTACAAACGAACGTTACAACTCTCAGAAAGAGAGTAACAGTCGGTCTGAAGGAGTAAAAACAGCCGTTGCTCCCATTTCGGCCATTTTTGGCTTAGAGTGTAGTCTGATTACGTCAAAGACCAAATTCATGAGTATACCTTGCAAAACATTCATCGTGTCATTTCCATACTCTGTGTTGTAACTCAAGCGCACGCAGCTAAGCAGCAAGGACGATGGTCCGGCAGTCAACGAACAGCGTTTATTGTCCGCAGCGTGGTTATATACATTGGCCTTAGGAGAGGGTGAAGGGGGGGGAAAAGGGAGAATGAAGGCGCACAGGGCCCAAACGAAATGGTGCGCGCGCAGCTGGTTTTGCTGGCGTTACAAACGAAACAATACAACACTCTGTCAATACCATGTCCTTATGTAAGGTATATGAATACAGTAATCTCGGTGATGTTTTTGATAGCATGCTAAATTTTTCTTCTCACACTAAACATGCTGCCATGTCTCTCGTTCTCTAGGCTGTTTGTAGAATCTCTCAAGAATTGAGTTCTCCTAGAGCCTTCTACAAATGTACACGAATGGCCTTGCTAAATATGGCAGTTATGCAATCAAGCGAGTCCATAAAGAATTCATAAGCATTTAGAAAAAATGTTTCTCTAGAAATGACTCTGGATCTCGTTCCAGCACTGCCAGATTATTATAATTGGCATTTCGTTGCCATCACTTCACTGCTGACGAAATCGCGCTGACCTATTATTTTTTTATAAACCAGCTCACGTAATGATATCCTGCCCTTTACCTCTCAGTTGTGTAACTTTTCAAATTCTGCGAAATCTACCCAGAGAGAATCAACCATTTTATGTACCTGCCAACTTCTTTCAACACTCTACTGTTCAAGAATACAAGGTCTCTATAATGTTAAATTACATGATCTTGATGTTTTTCACAGTCCACTGCCATTGTTTCTGTCTCAGATCTGCACAGTCTTAAAATAATTTTTCGCAATGCACATTGTTGTAAGACCGTGGTAGAAAGTAGTTGAGTGGCAGTTTTTAGTTTACTTTTATTCAATTCGTGTGGTAAGCTTGGGGAGGCATGCCAGCCGTTGCGCTTAATTTGCTTCGGCATGTAGCATTTGCTTTGACGACGCTCAGTCGAAGCGTACGACCCGACCAACCCTGACCACACAGACACGGCCGTGGGCCCGCACGGCGCCCAGCGAAGTGCTGAGGCGCCTGAGATTACCGAGCGCTTCTAGTTTCTGTTAACCCAGAACGAAGGAACCAACTTCACCGTGGGCGACAAAGGGGTAGGGATAGAAACGCCATTGGGATGACTCCAGGATTGCCCACGAGCTAATTTATTAGGGTTGGGTGGAGCGTTCAGGCGTACAAAAAATCACCATGCGCTTCTCTTTTCTTGAATAAGTCCATGAAGCCCGCCGTGAACAAAATGCTTGCCAAGAAGGTTGTTGGTGCCATACAGTTATCCTCTTCTGTAAATTCTGTAATGACATTTGCCACTCACAACCCATGAACAAAGATGGCGCCATTCCACGTCCCATTTCCCCCAGAATAATGTCCGTCGGGCCCAACCACCTGTCGTGTCCACTATACAACTTGACGATATATTCCAAGAAAACAGTTAGTATAAAAGCTCCATTGCATCTCCCGGCATTCCGCCTTGCTGCCTGCTGAGTGTGCTGTCAGCTGTCGCCAGTGTGGAAAGACGAGTTATCCGGCTTCCTATTGTTCGCAAAGCTTTTATATCTACACGATGTTTCAAGAAACGTGTCCGAAAAAACTCACAGTAAGGATTCTGCGACACATTTACTCGCCAACTGCGGCACTATTTACGGCAGTAGTTGAAGATAATTATTTATTTACTTATTTGCTTGTTTATTTTTTCAGAGAAGGCACGCGGTCGGTTTACACAGGAGGATCAAAGTCCCTCCTGCGAACAGCGCATTAGCACTTTGGGAATTCAAAAAACCCGCCACTCATGAAATACCGACTGGTTTCCCTTTCATTGCTGAATGCGAAACCGAAAAGCTCAGCACTCTTCGATGACTTCCCAAATGTACGAGCGTCTGTGCGAAAACAATGCATCCACCTCACTTTGAAAGTAAGCGGGTGGCAATTGCCATAAAAGCACGCGTGGCACATGCAGGTATTGAATGCGGAACTCGCCCCACTGCCATCATTGTCGCAAACAAGCAGTGATGTCTGTCGTCTGCTTGAAAATGCTGCTGCGCTAACCAGGCATAAAGTTCTTCGCTGCAGTTTGATCAACCTTCTAGTTTTGTGAGAAGGAATCGTACGTCTTGCAGCGTCGGGAAAATTTATCCCAGGTTCTTCAGGCGTCGTCGAAGTCAAAGGAACGCGATCATGCTTTGCCAACTTTCGCCGCAACGCCTTTTAAACCACAGAAACGAAACCACCATTACATGGTCAAGTGATGTTAGGCAATATTTTTGTCGTCACTTTATGTAAAAAAATATACTAGTGACACAAAATTTGCAGGTTTAGAACATCATTTTTGCTAAGCAATGACGCCCATGCAATATTATCACCGAATGCGTTATTAGCAATGTGAACAAACTTCAATGTTTTGTAGTTGCCAGATTTTATGTTCACAAAATACGAACAACTCATAATTAAAATTAATTGTTACAACTATATTACCTGTATACTAAAAACAACTTATATGTATATTTTGCATTTATTAATAAACAAATTTTTTGCTGTTTTCAGTGTTGCCTGTTTTTGATGCATATTTATAAACATTGTTGCCTAATTTTCAAACAAACGTAATAAATATTCAGTTTTTATATCATTGTTTAAAGTTTTGTACACCGACGAAAATTTTTTTTTAAGCATTTCAGTGCACACCGGTGTGTTGGTTGTACTATTGTTTTAAAATGATCCTCGCGGCACACGTGACACAAATACGCTGCACACGCGATGCGCCTGTTCCAAAAGGCACTAGTCTGAAACTTCCCAAACGGAAATATCACTTCGTACGGTTTTCTTGCGAACATCATGCTTGTCAAGTTCTATTTGCGCCAGTTCTGCAAGTCATCTGTCCGGTATGTACACTTTGCGAAGCACGGTGAAAGTCGTTTGCGAGTCGCGGCCTTCCGTGAACGATAGTTATAGCGCGAAAACAAAACGACGACACAGAGACAAGAAGGACACGAAGACACGCCTTGTTGTCTCGGTGTCGTCGTTTTGTTCTCGCGCTATAACTATCGTCATGCCATACCAACTAGCCCAAGCTACCACACTTTTTTCGTAAACGTTTATCACTTGGAACATATGTGTTCCAAAGACCTTCACTAATTGCGCATCTCCGGCCTCTACACCTAGAAAGACACCATGAATTCTCATTTAGAGAACCACCACCACTGTGCCTTGCCTCAGTTCTAAGACTCCCATCTGACCTGTAGGGTTTTTCCCACCCCAAAATGAGTAACATTTACCGCATATCTGCTGTTATCGTATTCCGGTCAATGGAAAAAAAAAGAACTGGCAAAAGGATGTGACTTAAGTTCATTTTAATATCGACAAATGCAAGACACTTATGCATTTACTAGTCAATCATAATAACAATGCGATAGCGTTTCTCTCGGAGGAAACTTTCAAGAGATTCGCCTTTTTTTTTTTAAATTACCGCCCGCGTATATTTATAACTGAACTTTAATATCAAAACATTTCAAACGCTGCAAATGCTCACTTTATTGCACTAAACTGCAGCGGAAAGCGACAGTGAACACCCGGAAAGTACCGCTTCCTGACTTGAGAAAACATTTTTATTGTTTTGTTTAGTTTAGATCCCAGGGTCAACATTCTAACGGTAGTTCTATCCACTATCTATTAGCTGATGATGATGGTTACATCGGATTGGAGGCTACCAGACTGCAATGCGAGGACCGATTGTTGACAACATGAAGCACAAAAATACAGCATCGCAATTTTTTTCAAAAACCGAATTGAAATTCATTCCATATATGTGGGTTTGTCCTGCATTACGTACCTGTGCTGAGACTATCAGAAGCTTGTGTTTAAACCATAGGTGCACGCAGGGTTTCAATGGGGGGGGGGGGGCAAAGGTTGGTCGCAGCGTTCCCCCCCACACACATTGTGTCATTGTATGGGGCTGCCCCACCCCTGCCCCCCAACGAGAAAAAAAAAAAAGGAAGTTTTATCATATTCTGACTGATTTATCAATATTTCCTTCAAATAAGATTTCCTGCAATACCTATCTCCACAAACTCCTATTTATTATATACTGTTTATGACATATCATTCACAGTAACTGTGGTTCCATATTAGAGTCAGGATTTTAGTTTATAGTTTGCCTTCTGCGTATGCACGAGATTTTCGAAACATAGCATTCGCACTCAACAGGTCTGCGTTTGGGCCATACATGGTTATGGCAATGTAACGTTTCCATACCCAATTTAAAATAGCCTATTTAAGCATGCGAGTACATGGATTCTGGTTTTAGAGCACTTCATTGTCAAAAATCTGGGGCAAGGAGGTGAGCACAATAAACACATCAATCATTAGGTCAGTCAAATTTAAAATAATGTTCAAGTATTAACTCAGATACGAACAACTTTTTTATGAGGTGCTTTTTTTTATGCAAGCATTGCATACTAACCCCAGCTTAACACTTGCACTTCTTTTCTTCTATATTGGCACTTCATATGCCAAAAGAAATATGTTACCAAAGCATTTTTTTTTTTTTTCAGAAAAAAAATGTTTTGTCTGCATAAGTTTTAATGTCAATTTCTCACATCACTTGAATGTAAGCAAAATCTTCTAGATATGTAGTGAAAGTGAGTATTAATTCTGAGATGTCAAAAATTTCATCTCTAGAAATTGGATGGGTTTATGTTTTGTTACAAACTCTCCTAGGTTGCTCAAACTTTCCTTCAGTTCTAATCAAGCGATTCACATTTCATTCCACTATGGGATGCTTCCGCCACTTTTATAATGTGCAGTTTTTCTTATAAACTTGTGAGCACAATCATGTTAAGAGTTTGTCAACTGGATTATGCAAGTGATTTATATTACTGCCATGAATTACACAGCGTGCACTAAGATAGTGGAGCCACTTGGGCTGTAGAAACAAACTAAGGTGACTCTACTGCATCCATCTAAATGAACTTGACCATAAATTGATTCATGAACTAGGTTTATCAAATTTAGTATATTAATATACTTTTGAATTACTACTGAATGTAATGCTGGATGTTACGGGCCTTCATCCTTATAATGTTGCATCTTATGTACATTCTTCAGTGTGAAAACGTCTCCATAAGAATTAAGAATAACCGCTGCCAGAAGAGGCATTTTTCTATCGAAAGACAGAGCAGGCCATTTGACTTTCTGAGCAGCTCTTCTGTTTTTGCTTTCTCAAGTACAGAATGCTTTTGTGAAAAAGCATCAGCATTTGCTCCTATAAGGTGTGCATACTTTATAGAGCATTCAATAGCCCTCTCTTTGAAAAATCCAACACAATTCATTTATCCACAGCACACAAACAGACTCAAAAGAGCATTGTTATTCAAGTAATAATAAAATCTGGTTGGCAGATCTTTTGCCCTTTTTGGGCTTACATTTGGATTGATCTAGCATTCTGCAATGACCTACACTGCTTCCCGATCTGCAGTATGAAATACAAAAAATCCTTCTGGTAACCTGCTTAAACAGAACCTAGTCTCGTGTCACCAGAGACTGCATAGTGTGCACGTGTTTTTCTTCCTACTGAAGAGCCACATTGTTCCCATTCATACTTTGTAATATTTCATCAGTACAACCCTGGTATATATGTACATTTCTTATATGACATATGTGCCTGAATACTAGGGTTAGCCTTCCAAAAATATCTTATGGGAACAAAACTTATTCACAAGCTTTATTGTCGAGGTAGTCCACTAGGATATCGAAATGACTAGGTAACAAATCCAGTGCTGAAGCCACACACCCCTTCCTGTACTCTTTATTTCTGAACTCATAATTCAAGATAGTGCCTCGGGGGTACCCACCTTTTTTAATGGTGATGTTAATTGGAACTATGATTGAATGATTCATAAAGTTTTTCACCTATTTTCAATATGCATTTGGTTTCTAATTCTATCTGCTTATTTTACCACTCACTGTGGAACTTGAAAACTGTGCTAACCACTGTTCAAATTGGGCGGCTTCATAGTAGGCAGTACCATAAATTGCTCATATTATGTTTCGCAAGTTATGTTATGAGAAACATTAAAATAATATATTATATATATATATATAGATATATATATATATATTAATATATCTTGAAAGTCTTCCTGGATTCGGGTCGTGTTTTAAGTCACCAGATGAAGCGAACGAGCAAACGAAAAATGATGCTTTATTGCCAACGTTACGGCCGGGACCGGCCTTCGTCAGGCACACCTATAATATATATTATATATATTATATATATATATATATATATATATAATATATATATATATATTTGCTCTTTCTACTCACTGTCTGTAATCAGCAATTTGAAATTTAATTAAACTTTTTGAACTGCTGCCACGATTGGTGTTCATACTGATGTTGGCGGTTGCAGCAAAAGCAATTAGTGAAGGGATATCTTATTTGGCCCATATTTTAGGATTTTTGTACACACAGTTCTATTTTTATTTGTGTTATATTTCTTAATTTGTCCTGTTATTTGTTCATTTCAGTTTAGTGTTCAGTTTTTATTGATTCAAAATACTAAGTTCACAGTTAAAAGTATGCAGACGAGGGTCCCAAAGTCGGGTGACTGCAGCAGGACCCTCAGTTAATAATAACGATAAAAGTGTAATTATAACAGCATCTAATATTACCAACGTAAGTGGAATGAACAGTGGAAGCACCAAAAAACTACAACAAATAAGTGAAAGAACAAAAACACGGTTAAAGTGGTGCAACTAAATAATAAACAGGTATGCAAGTGGATTAAGCAAACCATAGAGGAAAACCCTGCCTAAAATTTCTAAATATTTACACTTTTACATTATAAATTATTTTTGTTCTCAACCTAGTTATACAAGATTAAATTATTCAGTTCATGTTTGAATACATGTAAGGATGACAATGATTTTAGTGAGTAGGGTAATAATTCCAAACTTGATCACCGCGAAGGAGGAAGTGATTTTGCCATAGCTGGTGTTACATTTAGGTAAAAGAAATTTGTGATTATGGGCGAACTTAGTGCTGTTAGTGTTGGTGAGTAATCGAGGATCGATTAAATCAAGGACAAGCTGTTTGTTCAGCTGTTTGAATAACATTAAAAATAAGTGAAAATGAAACAAGCCAGACACAGAATGTGGTTAGCCTGAAAGAGTGGGGCAGCATTGGAATAAAATGAACTGCTGGTAATAATGCAAATGGCATAATTTTGAATGTGCTGATGGATGAAAGGACTGTTATAGGTATTACCCCTGAAGTAATGCCATAGGTGAGGTGTCTATGTATGAATGCAAAGTATCAAGACAATAAAGCTTCAAGTGAAAAAAAATAAACGAGATTTTTGATGATTTTATGCCAATGCTGTTTTTTTAATGAACATAAATAATTTGATTATTAAACTTCAAGTAAGGGTCTAATTTTATGCCCAGAAACACTCACAATCAGATGCAGGAATGAAGTGAATGTCAATAGACACCTGTGGTGTAAAAGGAAGCATTTTTTGAGAGGTTTTAAAAATCATGGACTGAGTTTTAAGAGGTTTAAAATTAAGTTGTTTATACGACACTATTTAACCACATCGTTCAGTTTATTGATCAAGGTAGTCAATGATTTATGTGACATGGAATAGTCGTATCGTGAGCATAAAAAATAATGTTAAAATGATTAGGGCAGTTCGGCAAATCATTAATATAGATACAAAACGTAAGGGCCCCAGAGTAGAACCCTGTGAAGCCCCTTGATTTATTATTTTAATGCTAGAAATAATTCTCCCTATGCACACTGATTGTTCACGATCTAGAAGGTAATTTTTTATGAATGGTAAGGATGGACCAGTGATACCTAATGATTCTAACTTGCTAAATAAAATATTATGACTAATGGTGTCAAAGGCTTTCTTGAAATCAAGAAAAACTGCAAACTTATGATTCTGGATGGAAGATTCAAGATCGTTATGATAGTAATGTTAAAGTCGTAGAACCAGCACGGAAACCGAATTGAGGAGGCTTTAGCAATTGAAATTTGATGAGTACTTCTTAATACATTTCAAAAATAGTTTTTCAATAAGCTTGCTGATGGAGACAAAATGTAAATAGGTTGATAATTACAGACATCTGTTGTTTTGCCTTTTTTGTGTACTGTGGTTACCTTAGCATTTTTTAGTGAGCTTGGAAATGTGCCAAGTTCAAGAATGACATTAATTATATCACTTAGTACTTCCGAAATATCTGAATCAGCAAGCTTTAAATGAAACGCCTATATGTTTTTTAGCTCAACACTACAGTTTTTTTGACTCAGGATTGTTGAATAGACTTCATCAGTAGTTACAGAAAAATGAAAAAAAAATGAATGGGTATAGCGGGTAAGGGGTATGAAGATGCTGTGAAGCACCACAGTTTTTTTGACTCAGGATTGTTGAATAGAATTCATCAGAAGTTACAAAAAAATGAAAATTGAATGGATACAGCGGGTAAGGGGGTATGAAGATGCTGTGCAGCACTACAGTTTGTTTGAGTCAGGATTGTTGAATAGACTTCATCAGTATTACAGAAAAAAATGAATGGGTACAGCGGGTAAGGGGTATGAAGATGCTGTGGGCCTGTCCTTATAGATTTCGTAGAAGTAAGTACTAAAAGACTCAGCTATGTCAGATGACTCAGTACAGATTTGCTGATCATACCTAATTTTATCAGTTATATTACTAACCTGAAGTCTGTTCAAAAAGTCCTTGAAAATTTTTCATTTTTTCTTTGGGTCATTTTTTGCCTTATAAGTTCTTATTTATTTTAGAGCTGTTTTGATTGTTTGAAAAGGTTATTCAGCATGCTATTATATTTTTACACCTATGTTTCAGATTAATCATCAATGGCTGTTTTTTAGTTTTTCTGTAAAGGTTATCTTTTTTTCACATACTCGTTAACAAGCCTCGAGTTTAGCAGGGACTGCGGTGGAACCTAAATATTTCTGGCATTTAAGTTTTTTAGCATTTGCATACACAGGTTAAGGACACAGAAAGCAGAAATTGTCTAATGCTTCCTCGGGTTTTGTAAGCTGCCAATGGAGGTCCATCCGGTGCCCTGAATATCCTTGAGGAAATTTGCCTCATTGAAGGTTGAAGTAAAGTGGCATGCATTATGACGAGAAAGATTTACAACGAGAGTTATAAAGGGAAGATGATCATGATTGGCACATCAGTCACTCCTGCAGTTGGTTGGTGATATATTACTTAATACATGGTCAATGAGAGTATAAGTCTAGTGGGTGAAAATTGAATAGCGTATGAGATTAAGGATTCAAGCCCAAAAGCCAAAAAAGCAATCACTATATGCTATGGTACTGTTATTATCTGTATCAGTATCAATTAGGTTAATATTGATGTCACGAACCAGAACAACTTGCTTATTTTCAGCATTGACAATATTGAGTGAAGCAGTTAGATTGTGTAGTAAATGCGGAATAGATGAATATGGGGATCGGTAAATGCACGCAATAATCTCTCTATTCAGACTACCGGTGGGAAAGTTAGCCTCGATTCATATGATTCACAGTTCAGAACATTTAAAGATAGTCAGACGTGCATTTGTATTTAATCTCGGACGATATAAAGATAGCCAAGCCGCCGTAGCGACCCGAATAGCGGTGACAATATTCAAAGTTATACGATTGAAATCCGTACAGATTACTATCGCAAGATTCTAGCCATGTTTGAGTAACACATAAACTGAAAAGGAATGACTGTTCGAGTTAGTAAAAGCAATAATGTTGCCACAGTTTTTTGGCAAGCTACGTGCATTGATGTGCAGCAAAGACAAGTAGAATTAGCAAGCAGGGATTTAGTTTCCTCAAAAGCAAACAACATGATGCAAGTTGATAGCTGTAGAATGGAAAAAAATGAAGCGAAGTTGTCAATGTCAAGTGAATATGCTGAGATCAACTTCGCATTAATCCAAAAGACCCTGCTGTCCTCAGGAAAAGGCACAATAATGCTCTTGTCAGCTGTTCTTCTGGCCACCCAATGTACTTTATCAATATCTGTCGATGAAATGGGCATTCAATCATTTGTCCAATGGTTTTCAAAAGAACTGTGCAGTCCATACCTTGTGTACATGGGACACTTTTGATTTCAAATTGCTGAGCCTACTGTATTGCTCTATATCTGCATCTTCCTAGATAGCTCGTCATTTTCCACCCTCAGTGTTTTGTTTGACTGCACCAGGCCATCTACTGATGCATGCACTGAATCATATTGCTCACTGATGTAACTTACGCTCTCAGCAAAGGCAGAAAACTGCCAAGTCCCTGATCTTCTAACTTCTTTCATATTTTAGGCACAAGATCATCAAGAAGACCGTCAAGTTTAGCATGAAGCAGTGACTCAAGGTGCTCGATTTTCTTAGCAAGCTCGGTGTTAGTGGGCATGTTGTGCAAAAAAAATCAAAAGGCAACAGTTATGAGCAGCACCCGAAGGTGAGTATGCAACATAAACAAAAATACCGGTACGAAAACCAACCTGTAGCGGAAAGAAACAGATTCTTGGAAGTCGTCCACTTGCTATGACTGCTGCTCGAAAAGTGGACCGGGACTGACTTCGCTATATAACCTCCAATGAGGCACGCACAGGCACCGGAGGGACCAAGTGCTGGAGAGTTCCAAGTACAATTGACAGGACCCTAAAGGTCGTACAAGACGATGAAAGCAAGTCGATGTCGATCTTCCAGTAGCCACGTAGCGCAGACGCAGTCAGGCACAAGTGGAGGTGCCAGGGGTGGCTCGCGTAGACATGACCCAGTCGCGCACAGGGAATGCTACTCGACTGGAATACCTGCACATCACCAGTCTATAGTGGAAAGAAACAGATTTTTAGCAGGTGTCCGCTTTCTACGGCCACTGCTCAAAAATTTCATATTCTTTATTCCTAATCATCCTTATTTTTTGCAAATACACCTGTTTGAATACTTTATGCAAGCCCACTGTGAGTAATGAATTAAATATAAAAGTGAGATTGTAGCTTCTAATACGGCACAGTTCCAAAATTTAATTTTTTTGCTTTTATTGTGGAGAAGCAGGGTAACTGTGGAGTTGTTTTATTGTAGATTTTGGCTAAGGCTATTCATATATGCTTCATGTATTTCTTCACGCCTGCTGGTATCTCTGTTGAGTCGAACGCCTTTAAATTTTGGAGTATATGCAAGCAGCAGATTTTTGAATTCCTAAGTGATATTATTGATCCCTTGAAGAGAACCCTTTTCAGAAGCCAGCTTCGCCTCTTGAGTGTTTTTTATTTTGTTTGACATTAACTTTGCAAATATTTGGAACACGATGAAAAAGAACTTTCCCTTTTTTTGTGTATTACTGTAATCTTGTTTTTCTAGCTCACTGCTACACCTGGTTACATGGCGTGCAGATTCACAATAAGTTTTTATTATGAATCCTCTCAATTTATTCAAATCAACTGTTATAAGGTCGCATCTCCTGCAACTTTTCTTCAGGTTATATGTTGCATGCAGCCTTATTAACCTCATCAATAGCTACCTGTGGAACTGCATTCTTCCAATCGACTTTGATTTCAATCAAGAATGAATGGCCATCTTTCTTCAAGTTTTAAAATGAATCTGTACAACACAGAGTTTCTTGTTCTTGACATGCTTTGATAGTTCGAAAACTTATGTTCAGCCTAATGATGTAATATATGACTTCGTCTTTTGTTCTTTTTTTTTTATAGAGTGCTTTAAAGAGAGGTAGCTCACTTGTTGTTGTGTTTTACCTTCCATCTCAATTTCTGCTTCCAAAATTGGTTTAAATAATGCTTTCCTCAATTTCTCCATACCTCTTTCTTATTTGAAAGCACTGTTTGTGTCCATGAGAGCAATCCTAAATTCGCCTGGTTTTACTCTCACTGTATCTGTGTTAACCTGTTTCATAGTAAACTTTTTCTTGCATGTTTTCTTAATCCTCACTAACTGTGATCACTATGCTTTATCATACCAATTACTCTTTTGTTCTGCACAATGCCTGGGCATAGTCTACACACATAGTTAAATCTGCTTTGTTTGTCATTTCCACATAAAGTCTGTCCATGTCCATTTTCGATTCCTACGATTCCTGAAAAAGGTATTCATTAGATACAAAGTATAGCTTATTTAAGCATCTCTCCTGCTATTGATACCAACATTACCAACTGCTTGTTCTCCTTCTCCTTGTCTTCACACTGTTCTATTTAGGTCTTCAATGACCGGGGCACGTTGGGATCGTGCCATTTTTATTGCCAATAGAAAATTCTCATGAACTGGTCACTGGTCTACATCTATGGCTGCATACATCTATGCCTGCATCCATGCATGCCTAATCATGAGTGGTTTTTAGTGGCACGAGGGCCAATTGATGGCCAAAGAGCCATTTCAAAAGACTGGAAATATGAACAATTAATGATGCATGGCTGTAAAGGGCCTTAAAAGTCCTCGCGCTAACACGGGTAAAAACGTGGAATTAATAAAATCATGACAGTGGCGTGAGATATGTGCAGTGAAAATGGATGACAAAATGTCATGATAATAAAACCATGATAGAGATGTAGTCCAGCAGACATGACCACGGTACAGGGGTTGTGCTTCGGATCCCCTCGAAATATGGGGTGAAAGCTATGAACATCTTTTAAAAACGTGAAAAGTGATTGCAGTTTAAAAAGCGGATCCCTACTGATGAGCATCTCAGGATTTAGTGGGAGCTGCTGTCGGTAAGGCAGTAAAAAGTGCTTTTTATAGAGCATCTAGCTCATTGCACTGGACGAGAATGTGGAGAACCGTCAGTGGCTCTCCACATCTCTCAGAATAGGTGGATTGCTGTTATATAGAAGATGTGTGTGTAGAGTGTGTATGTCCTGTTCTAAGCCTTGTTAGTGTTACTTCTGTGTATCGTGATTTTGGTAGTGCAACCAATTACCTTGTTGCAGCTTAATAGCATGGAGTTTATTGTATGTGTGTCTATCCCACGTGCTCTGCCAATACCCCCTTAGCTTTCGTTTTAGAAAAGGTTTTAAGTCAAGTGCAGGGATTGGTATTGATGCATTGGAAGTAGTGTTGTTGGCGGAAGCAGCCAGCTTGTTGGCAAAACGTTCCCTTGTATCTTACGGTGCCCTGTCACCCAGAAGACAACGATATGCTGTTTTGATGTGTACAGTGTGCACAGAAGTGTGTAAAGTGACACCAGCATGGGGTTCTTGTGTTTTTTAGGAGTTTTCAGGGCTTTGACCACACCTAGGAATCTGTGTATATTACCGCGTTTTTTATTTTATTTGTTTGATGTGTTTTATGACCTCCAGTATTTCCTAAGCTTCTCCTATGAAAATGCTTGAACCAGGATGAATAATGCCGGCCTCGGAAAAGGATTGGCCTACCGCTACATATGACCCAGAAGTGTTGGGCTTTGAGGCATCGGTAAAGAACTCGAGAATGTGTATTTATGTTGTAGTTCTAGGAAGTATGTAGTATGTGTGCAAGTGGTGCATGCTTTGTGACTTCCACAAAAGACATCACAGTCTATAAGCTGCCACTGCCACGATGGCAGATAGCCGAAGGATCCATCAAACTGTGTTCAAGGAGAGGCACACCTGTTTTTTTCGGCCAGGCCCCTTACATTGAGCGAATAGGGCTGCCTCAACGAAGGACGGTTTTCTAACAAGCCAGAGCAGGACAAATCACTAATTGTGAAATGAGAGGGATGTTGCTTGTCTGCATTTATTTTCAGAAAATACACAAAAGACACGTAACATCTCTGTAGTGGAGTGACCATTCATTCGACTCCACGTACAGGCTCTCCACGGGCTAGTTCGAAAAGCCCCGTAGATAGGCGAATGCCTAGATGATGAACAGGGTCGAGAATCTTTAAGGCTGATGGTGTTGCCAAATGATAGATTATGTCACCATAATCTAGGCGTGTGTGTATGAGGCTTTTATATAAATTCATCAGGCTCTTCTTGTCACTGTCCCACGTAGTGCGTGACAATGCTTTCAAAATATTCATTGTTTTTAAGCACCTGTCTTTTGAATACTTGATGTGTCGGATGAAGGTTAGTTTTGTGTCTAATATTTGTCCAAGAAACTTGTGCTCGGTCTTCCCTGGCAGAGGTTGATCATGTAGTCAATGTGGGGGTCAGGGTGGAGGCCCCTCTTTCGGCAGAACAAGATGCGAGTGCTCTTTGGCGTGTTGTGTGTAAAACCATTCTCATTTGCTCATTGAGACACCTTGTTGAACCGTCGTTGAATTTGACGTTGGCAAACTGAGATGTTGCACGATTTGAAACCAATCTGTACGTCATTGACATATATGCAATAAAAATTTTTACATGGAAGAGACAGGTGCAGGGAATTCATTTTAACTATGAAACTGTACAGCTCAATACCCCTCCTTGTGGCACTCCTGTTTGTTGGACAAATGCTCGAGATTAGACAGTGCCAACTCGAACACGGATTGTACGGTTGGACAGGTAGCTTTCGATGATTGTCAGCATTCTACCTCGCACAGCTAAATGTGACAGGTCTCGCAATATGTCAAAGCGCCATGTAGTGTTATATGCCCTTTTCATATCGAGGAACACAGAAAGAAAAAATCGCTTATGAACAAAAGCGTCGCGAATTTGTGCCTCCATACGGACATGTTGGTCAGTGGTAGACCGAGCCTCCCGAAACCCACACTGGTATGGGTCAAGTAGGCCATTAATTTCAAGAAAGTGCATCAGGTGCCTGTTATTTTCTCAAAAACCTTACAAAGACAGCTGGTTAATGCTGTTGGCCTGTAGCTGGAAACTGAGGCCGAATCTTTGCCTTGTTTTAGAATTGGGATAACAATAGCTTTCTTCCAGGCTGAGGGTAGCTTGCCAGAAGACCATATCGCATTATACAGGAAGAGAGAGCTTTCTCGGTTTCAGTGGGCAGGTGTTTTAACATTTCATATGCCACACGGTCCGGGCCTGGGTAGATTTATTGCAGCAGGTAACTGAGGCTTGCAGTTCAGCCAAACAGAAAGGTTCATTGTATGCCTCATGCATTGTGGGTTTGCGCTCCGATCTCTGTTTTTCTATTCTGGTTTTGTATCGTTGGAACGCTTCACTATAGTGTGATGAGCTGGAGACCTGTTCGAAGTGCGCTCCGAGAGTGTTAGCCTGGTCTTCCAAACTCTCCCCTTGCGTGTTCACTAGAGGAAGTGAATGTGCTTTTCATCCTGCAACCTTACCAACCATGTTCCAGACTTTTGACTCATCTGTAAATTAATGCCTGATAAAAATTTGGGCCAACATTCCCTTCTCGCCTGTCGGCGCGTCCTCCTTCCTTGCTACTTGATGTTCTTAAAGTTTACAAGATTCTCTGTAGGCGAGTCTCTAAACAACTTCCATACCTTATTTTGTTTTTTTCGCACCTCAAGGCACTCATTTTTCCACCATGGGACTCGTCGTTTGCCTGACGGTCCACATGTTTGGGGAATACATTTCGTTGCTGCATCAACCAAGAAAGCTGTAAAGTAGCACTCAGCACCCTCTGTGCTTAACGTCGCCATGTCAGTCCAAGTTATTACAGTAATTTTTTTTAACTTTTCCCAATCGGCTTTGTGAGTGAGCCATTTGGGAACCTGTGCAAGACATGTATTTGTTACAGATGTGCTAATAACAATAGAAAAATGGTCACTACCGTATGGATTATTAATAACTTCCCATTTAAGTAGGCAGGAGTGATGGAGATGTTATGCTGAGGTCTATTGTTGAGTACGTTTTGTTAGCGATGTTGTAATATGTTGGCTCTTTCCAATTCAGGAGGCACACACCAGAGGAAAAAGGAACTGTTCAATCAGGCGACCTCGCGCATCGCAGCGAGAATCACCCCAGAGGCTACCATGTGCATTAAAATCTCCTAGGACAAGGTAGGGTTCCGGAAGTTCGTCTATGAGGCTGGAATACATGCTTTTCAAGGCGGTGTTGTGGAGGTATGTAGAGAGAGCAGATGGTGATGAGCTTATTGAAAAGAACTGCTCGAACAGCCACCGCCTCTAGGGATGTTTGTAGTGGTAGGTGTGTGCATGCAATCCCTTGATTGACTATAATGGCAACACCACCGAATGGCACAATGGCATTATTCTGGTCCTTCCGAAAAATAACGTAATGATGTAAAAAGTTGGTGTGTTTAGGTTTGAGGTGTGTCTCATGTACGCACAACACCTTAGGTGTATGTGTAAAAGTTCCTGGATATCGTTAAGGTTTCTCAGCAGTCCTCTGACGTTCCACTGTAGTAATTGTGTCATTTTAATGTTGTGTGGTGCTAAGTGTACAAAAGTGTTGCGTTAGGTTACAGGGCCTTTTGGAAGCCCTGTGATTCGAGGTTTTTATTTTTTGGCGTGCCCCAAGGAGTTGTGCCTACCCTTCGGCGTCTGAGGCGCCGGAGGAGTGGGACTTGTATCCATCACTTCTTTTGAGGTGGTGGATAATGCCTGCTCGGCAGGCACATTCGCAGAACTTTGGGACCTAACTGCGCTTGCAGTGGTCCGAGGTTCAGCAGACACGGGGTTCTGCCAGCCCTGTTTGTCAGATGGTAGAGCAGTACAGGCTGCTCCAGCCGGGGGCGCTGGTGGCACGACCGTGGCCACACTCTTGTGTGGCATTCGCAGGTGCAGAAACATGTGGCGCAGCGCCCCGGCGCGTCACATCTGCAAAGGAGGGATAAGAGGGGTTGTGCAGTGAAAACGTTTACGTGCCTCTTGGAATGACAGATTGAACTTGACCTTGAGTTCTACTATTTGTTTCTCTTTTTTCTATGCGGGCATGATCTTGAGTAGGCAGCGTGATATCCTTCACAGTTTGAACAATGAGTTGTTTCTGGTGTGCAGTTGTGCGATATGTGTTTAATGGATGCACACTTTGCACAAGTGGCATGCCCTCTGCAACTCTGCGATCCATGATCGAAACGTTGACACTTGAAACATCGACGAGGGTTTGGAATGTATGGTCTTACACGGAGCTTACAATAGCCGGTTTTGATTGATTCTAGTAGGTCACTTGTTCCGAATGTAATTATTACTTGTTTTGTATGGGTCAGTTTGTTGTTGCGTCTATTGTTATTATTTGGACTTTGACCACGTTCTGGTCCTGCCAACCTTCAAGCAGCTCACTTTCAGAAAGCTCAGTAAGATCATCATCAGCAATTACGCCACGGACAGTGTTCATGGACTTGTGTGGGCCCACCGAAACAGGGGTTTCCATCAAATGCTACAAGCTTAGCCAGCTTCTCATACTGAGCTTTGTCATGAACCTCCAGAAGAAGATCGCCACTTTTCATCTTTGTCACTTAATAACCTGGGCCTATTGCTTCTGTGAGAATTTTGGAAACGAGGAAAGGTGAAATGACTCGGACTGTCTTCTTTTCATTTTGACTGTGGATACATGGTACTTTGCGAATGTCGGCTTTGGTGTGTTAGGCAGAAAGTGTCTTCGATGCGCCACTTTTTTAGGGAGTGATCAGAAAGGGGGGAAAAAGCTTTTGCCATAAAAATACTAGAAAGTTCGGCGACGATAGTGGCCACCCGCCACCGAGCCCAACATGGGGACGCTACAAGTTTGAAAGCAAACACTTGAAGACGCCAGCCATACATCGCCTCTATAACCTGTTATAATTATCCTAGGTTGGATAGCTACACCAGGTTAACCCTCGCCGCCAGGAAATTGGAAGTAAACAGAAGAGAGAAGATGAGAGGACAGATAAAAGTGAGAGATAAAGACTAATTAGGGAGAGAGATAGAAAAGGCGACTGCCCGATTTCTCCTCCCTGGGTGGGTCAGCCCAGGATGCCGTCTACGTGAAGCCAGGGCCAAAGGGTTGTGTTGCCTCTGCCGGGGGCCTTAAAGGTCCAATCACCCAACGTCAGCTCAACCCTCAGGATCCCCTTTTCCGCGGACACGGCAAAGCCACGCACGCCTGGCATGGGAGGGAGTCGAACTCCCCCATTAGCTCGGGTCCGTGGTGTCATCATCATCATCAGCCTGACTAAGTCCACTGCAGGACAAAGGCCCCTCCCATGTTCTGCCAGTTAACCTGGTCCTGTGCTTGCTGCTGTCAATTTATACCCTCAATTTCTTATTCTAATCTGCCCACCTAATCTTCTGTCTTCCCCTAACCCTTGCCTTCTCCGGGAATCCAGTTAGTTACCCTTATTGACCAGCGGTTTCTTGTCTACGTGCTACATGCCCCGCCCATGTCCATTTCCTCTTCTTGATTTCAACTATGATATCCTTAACCCCCGTTTGTTCCCATAATCCATTCAGCTCTCTTCTTGTCTCTTACGGTTACACCAACCATTTTTCTTTCCATTGCTCGCTCGTCGTCCTCAATTTAAGCTGAACCCTTTGTAAGTCTCCAGGTTTCTGCTCCGTAGCTAAGTACCGGCATGATACAGCTGTTAATACCTTCCTCGTAGGATAGTGGCAATCTACCTGTCATAATTTGAGAGTGCTTGCCAAATGTGCTCCACCCCATTCTTACTCTTCTAGTTACTTCAGTCTTGTGGTTCGGCTCTGCGTTATTACCTGCCCTAAGTAGATGTCTTTTACAACTTAAAGTGCACTATTACCTATCTCGAAGTGCTGCTCTCTTCTGAGGTTGTTGTACATTACGTTCGTATTCTGCAGATTGTGCACTATTACCTATCTCGAAGTGCTGCTCTCTTCCGAGGTTGTTTTACATTACGTTCGTATTCTGCAGATTAATTTTAAGACCCATCTTTCTGCTCTCCTTGTCTAACTTGGTAATCATGAGTTGCAATTCCTCCCCTAAGTTACTCAGCAATGCAATGTCATCGGCGAAGCGCATGTTACTAAAGTACTCTTCATTAACACTTATCTCTAACTGTTCCATTTTAGCTTCTGAAAACCTCCTGTAAGCACGCGGTAAACAGCATTGGGAGATTGTGTCCCCCTGCCTTACACCCTTCTTGATTGGTATTCTGTTGCTTTCTTTATGAAGCACTATGGTAGAAGTTGATCCCCGGTACTTGCAAGATGTTTATATACTTCATCGACATCCTGATTCCACAGTGTCTGCATGACGCTGATATTTCTACTGAATCAAACGCCTTCCCGTAATCTATAGAGATATGTATAGTGGCTGGTTATATTCTGATAATCTCTCTATTACCTGATGGGCAGCATGAATGTGGTCGATGTTGAGTAGCCTGTTCAAATCTTGCTTGCTCCTTTGGTTGATTGAATTCTAATGTTTTCTTTACTCTGTTAGCAATTACATTTGTAAATAGCTTGTATACTGCAGAGAGCAAGCTGATCGGCCTGTTTTTCTTCGAGTCCTTGTCATCTCCTTTCTTAGGTATTAAGATGATGTTAGCATTCTTGCAAGACTCTGGTACTCTTCCCGTCAGGAGATATCTCGTAAACAGGTGCTAATTTTTCTAACACAATTAGTCCTTCATCTTTCAGCAGATCTGATGTTACCTGATCCTCACCAGCAGCTTTGCCTCTTTGCATGCTCATTTTCTCTATTAGGCTCCTTCATGTCCACTTGCGGTTTTCTTGTTTTCGGTAGAAGGTATTCAATATCCGTAAATTATTGCGTTCTGCAAATTCTAATAGTAGCTCTCCTCTGGCAGCTCTAGTACCGATGCCATAATCTCCTACTGCCTGGTCTCCAGCCTGCTTCTTCCCTACCTTTGCATTAAAGTCTCCCATCAGTGTAATATACTGTTTTTACCTTACTCATTGCCGATTCCAGATCTTCATAGAAGCTTTCAACTGAAGAGTCATCATGGCTGGATGTAGGCGCGTAAGCCTGTACCACCTTCAACTTGTATCTTTTATTCAGGTTAATTACGATACCTACCACCCTTTCATTAATGCTATAGTATTCCTCTATGTTGCCAACTAAGTTTCTGTGAATTAGGAGCCCCACTCCTAGTTCTCTTTTGTCAGCCAGGCCCCGGTAGCAAAAGACGTGCCTATTCTGTAGCACTGTGTAGGCCTCATCTGTCCTCCTAACCTCACTGAGCCCTATTATATCCCATTTAACACCCCCTAGCACCTCGAATAGTACAGCTAGACTTGCTCTCACTAGATAAGGTTCTAGCGTTAAGCGTTGCCAAGTTCAAGTTCCAATGGCAGCCTGTCCAGATCCAGATTCTTAGCACCCTCTGCTGCGTTGCAGATCTGACCGCCTCCAAGGTCAGTTGATTTGCAGCTGCTGGGGAGGACTGAGGGCCATGAGTTAATTGACGTAGCATGTGGGAGGTAGTGGCCAGATACTTCACCAGGGTGGCCAATCCTTCTCTGGTGAGGGAATGCATTCCCGGGGGGGTTACCGGTCAGGCCGCACCCCAGGCGTTTTAATGCAGTTCCATCACCATGCGGATTTTCTTTATATATCCGGTTGGGAACTGCGCGGTACCGGATTTGAGTCACGGACCTTTTGCATGCGAGGCGGATGCTCTAACCACTACGCCATGGCCGCACCCGTGGTGTCACTGCACACCGAATGCCTGCACACGCAGACGCCCCTGCAGGTCCATGCATGCCTAATTTAGAGTGGCCCTGAAGATTACATTTACTTAATAATCTCTGTTTTCCTGGAACAGCCCTAGGTGTTTTATTCCTTGATCTCAGGCACACCGATATCACTGCATATTGTAATTTATTGAGGGCTCTCTGTTGTTTTATTTACAGGACTAAAAGCACAAACTGTGCCTTTCGTATCATAAAGAACTGTATTTGTGCACATGTTATTTGCTTTCAGTGCAAGCTAGGCATTCAAGCTGGGCGGTGGAGCCTATGCCGTCACAATTTATGAGCAGATCTCTTGGGCTTCTGGTCCATGGGCAGGAATGAGTGAGTGAAACAAATTTGTACGCTTTAAAAAAACATGCTTTTTATATCTACCACTGTACTCTCTCAGTGTTCTTGTAAGTGTAGTAATGCATCATGACTATGACATCTTTATTACTTGCTTCAATGCGTAATTTTTATGTATCCGTCCCATTTGGCATGTTTCCAATATGAAAATTGCAATTCCGTCACGCCCTAAAATTTGGTCCAGAATAGATGCGAATGAACTCCGCAGGCAGGTATTTAAGAAATACAGAGTTAATCATTTATTTGTCTTTGCTGTCTTAAATCGGCATAGTGATCTATAAAATTGCATTATTGGGAGTCTTCGTATCCAATTTGAACAAGTTCCTTAACAAGAGATATTGCTGCGGTCAGAAACGTACAGAATTAAAATATTTGGTTGTTCTGACACCGTGTTTTCACAGCAAAATTTCAAATGCCACTGCAGCAGAAGAGATCATAGATAACTGTTGACTATTGTGCAGTATAACCTGAATGAGCTCTTCTGGAATCGGACAAATAATAGAATATGTGTTACAAACAAAAACTAAAGCATAAGGCCTTGTACTGCTCACTGTATTACATTGTTTATCAAGTAAAGAATTGCTCTTTTATAAAACTTGTAATTATGCCAAGTATCATTTGCTTTAATTCTACTGAAGTTACTAACTCTATTTACTTCACTTAATAGAGAAATTGGACAATATGCTCAGATGAAAATGTTTCATTTCGATATGAAAGATTTCTGGTTCAATAATCTAGCTGGAAATTGTCCTTTTTTTCGTCTAACAGGCCCAAATGGCAAATGTGTGTTGAGAATGTGCCGTTAGAAACCTTATTCAAAAGATGCAGGACTACTGACTGAATTGATTCTAGGCATACGTATAAGAATTGTTTCATATTCACCTTCAAGTTTTGGTGCAAGAATTTGTGTTATATTGTGTGTATCTATCACTGCATAGAAAACCAACTTCCACCTTCCTTAGGCATCACTGTCTAGGCCATACAGCCGTAGCCACGTCTGTGTAGAGCAGCAAGCAGCCGGTTCTCGCTCTGTGGGGCAAAACCTTGAGGCAATATCAGCTCTGAAGTGGTCAGCCTAACAACTAAGACACGAATGTTTCTGATACACCACTTTATAGCCTGAAACTGTCTCAAGTTTTCGCACCACAGAGCAAAAACTGGCTGTTTGTGTGCTCTACATAGATGTGGGCGTGGCTTTACATAAAGCTTCCGCACAAGCTGGAAGTTTGCAAGTATATGTGTCTCCAGGTATTTTATACATTGCAAATATTTTGCAAGTGCTCTCACTCCACAAATGACATGAGTGCGATTTACAGCAGGGCACATGCATTGATGCTGAAGTCATCAGTTTATATAATTGTGTGTGCATTTCATTGAAGTTAGGCAAGGGCTCTAAAGGGCAACATTGTACAAAATAGTGGTTAGGCATGGATATCATGGTACGTATAATTTATCAAGAGGTGGCAGATGCAGTTTCTTTGCTTACACATACAGACGGTTAAAACAATGAAATTTTACATAGTCCCTTCAGTAAATTCAAATTCATAGAGCCCATCCGTCTGCCTGCTATACAATCAAATGAGTGAGAACTGAAGTGTGAATTTTCAGCTCTTGACTGCCTTAAAGAAACCCACAAAATGCGTATGACCACACAAATTTGCTCATTTTAACCTAATTTTAGCTGGATACAGCAGGCCTAATTTCTTGGCAGTATAGTGCAATTGCAAGTGTGATTGCCCAATTTCATCCACAATTTGATATCAAAAGTGACGGCAGATTCACATTTTGCAGTAACTTTTCCTGGCATACAGTAGTCATTCATCTTCTTGAGTTTGTAGTTCGCAAACAATTTACAAAGTTATTTATGATTCTAATGAAATTCCTTCTTGCTCAAATACTACCACTGGAATCCCGGAGGCACACAATGAGCTGATGACAAGAGTGACAAAATGCCGGTTTAAATTGAAGTTTGATAAGGTACAGAAGCAGCACTTGCACAACTACACACCAGCTAGTAGACACAGTTTGAGAGAAGGGCAGCACTTTAGCATCAAGGTTCTTCTTATGGCATATTTTTTTATGCACAAAGAACAATTTTGTAATTAGTCGCACCAACAAAACTACTTTTACAGAAATCACGTGACCTCTTCATCTATTGTGCAAACTTGTACAATTGTTGATTTCTGAGACATTTCCCAATACATTTTCGATACTTATACATCTATATAAAAACACCTCATGCCTATGCATTATTGTTTTTCCGAAATTGGCTGCCTACTGAATGATTTCATGAGTTTGTACTCCTTGATTTCACTTCATTATTATATTAAGGGCAGCAGGATTATGTCAGATAGTTTACAGCGGTAGCCTCCAGTTAGATTTTCACAATATGATGTCCAGTGGTCGTTCAACTGAATTTCCCTTAGACATTCACTCAAAACCCACCGATTTTACTCCCCCCTTCCATGCACTGTGCTGCATCATCTCGCGTGTCTGTTGATATGTTGCCGTTAATCGTAAAATTTTTCGTAGATCAGTTATACACTCATACCTCATATAATAAACCCAGATAAAACTAATATTTGTTATGACAAATAACGAAGAACAGTTTTGCAATATTTATAGTGCTAGCTAGACTACACTTTTATAACAAACTTCTGGTTAGAATAAACTTATTTTGTATAAAATGCAACTTTGTTATAATGAGGTTTGAGTGTACCTCCTACACTTATATTTGCTGTGATGAAACTGCATAAATTGTCTGTGAGTCAGTGGCATAACTAAAGAGGTGCAAGCGGTACAAGTGCCCCGGGCGTCACTTGGGAGGGGGCGCCGAGCCAAGTCTGCTCAACATGCATTCTGGGACCTGCTGAAAGCCCAAACGGCATGCTGGTGCCCCTCGCCCAGTGGGAGGTCGCCCTTATGGTTCACCTTTCAGTGAGGGCATGCTATCACGCTGTTTTAACACTCCCTTCCTCACCTTCTTATCCGCTACTACAACCCTTGAAGCTAGAGGCTAAATAGTGTTCCTGACCTTCCAGTAAATTATCCAGTAAATTATCTTTAATGACCAGGGTTATCCCAGTGATAGAATTTCTGCTCAATGCTGCTCCAAAAGCACTTTTTCTTAATAATTGCTTCAAACCAGCTCTGAAATGACACTGAAGAGCATGACTGATGAACTTTTACTCTTCTTATAAGTCGTAACCGAAAAGAATCTGAATAATTATACCTCAGTGTGCTACCAGTGTGCTGCATTATTGGATCTGATCTCATTTTTTATAATGCACAAGAACTGGCGTGCTAGCATATGGCACGTTTGGCAGGATTTTTTTTTTTTTTTTCAGCTGGACTTGCCGGCTAGAATGATGAAATGTGAAAATTATGAAGATTTATTTATCTAATACTAATTATCTAGTGCTTGTTTGCAACAGTTATATGGGGTGTGTTATGTATATTAGTATTTAATAGATACTTTGACAATGCTCTGAACTCTTGTTTTGATGTGACAAATTTAATATCTCTAAAACAGCAGTAGCTGCTCTAAACTAGCATTTTTTTCTGCTTCGAAAACACTTATAGCTGCTCCAAAGCAGTATTTTTCTTGCTCCAAAGTATGCTCCAAAAGTAAAAAGTCACTTCTATCACTCTTATCCTGCCAACGCGCTGCATGCCTGGCCCTTGTCCATTTCTTTTTCTTGATTTCACTATGATATTCTTTACCCCGGTTTGTTCCTTGATCCACTTTGCTCTCTTCTTGTCTCTTAAGGTTACACCTACCATTTTCTCTTCATCGCTCGCTGCGTCATCCTCAATTTATGCTGAACAACGCTCCAGGTTCTGGTCCGTAGGTGAGTACCGGCAAGATGCAGCTTTTGTTTACCTTCCTCTTGAGAGATAGCAGCAATCTACCAGTCGTGTTTTTAGAGTGCTTGCCGAATATGCTCCACCCCATTCTTATTCTTCTAGTTACTTCAATCTCGTGGGTCGGCTTCACTGTTATTACGTCCTAAGTAGACGTGGTTTTTTACTACTTCAAGTGCACTGTTACCTATCTTGAAGCGCTGTTTTCTTCTGAGGTTCTTGTACATTATTTTCATTTTCTGCAGAATAATTTTAAGAGCTACCTTCCTGCTCTCCTTGTCTAATTCAGTAACGATGAGTTGAAATTTGTCCCCTGAGTTACTCTGCAATGCAATGTCATCCACTAAGCGCAGGTTACTTCCCATTCTAGGCATTTGAAAACCTCCATTAAGCACGTCGTAAATAGCATTGGGGAAATTGTATCCTCTTGTCTTACAGCCTTCTTGATTGGTCTTCTGTCACTTTTTTATGGAGCACTATGATAGCAGTTGATCCTCATTAGATTTCTTCCAGGATTTTTATGAATGCTTGTCGACGGCCTGATTCTGCAGTGTTTGCATGACTGTTGATATTTCTACTAAATGAATGACTTCTCATAATCTATGGAGGCTATATATAGTGGTTGGCTGTATTCTGTGCATTAAATTTCACTATAACCTGATTGATAGTGTGAATGTGTAGAATGTGAGTAGCCTGTTTGAAATCCTGCTTGTTGCTTTAGTTTTTTGAACTCTAATGCTGCCTTAATTCTGTTATTAATTACCTTTGTAAACCTTGTATATGACAGATAAGCTGATCGGACTGTGATTCTTGAAGTCCTTGTCATGTCCTTTTTTATGCATTAGGATGATTTAGCATTCTTTGAAGTTTCTGGTACCCTCGCCATCAGAAAAGACTTCGTGAACAGGTGGCTGGTTTTTTAACACCAGCTGTCCTCCATCTTTCAGGATCTGATGTTACCCAAACCTCATAGCTGCTTTGCCTCTCTGCATTCCCTTCAAGGCTTTTCTGACTTCTTCTGTCATTACTGTCGGGATGTCATCAGGGTTACTGCTAGTTCTTACATTATGGTGATGGTTGTCTCCGCTACTGTACAGATCTCTGTAAAACTCCTCTGCTATTTTTACTATTCTATCCATATTGGTAGTTACTTTGCCTTCCTTGTCTCATAGTGCATATATCTGATTTTTGCTTATCCCAAGTTTTCTCTTCACCACTTCGACACTTCCTTCGTTCTTTAGAGCATGTTCAATTTTCTCCATTTATACCTTCTTACGTCAGATACCTTACGCTTATTAGGCAAATTCGAAGCTCTGCCAGTTCTTTTTGTCTGTTGTATTAAGACTTCATGATTTCACATTCCTAATGAGATTCTTTGTCTCCAGGGACAGCTGCCAGTGTCATAACTACCGTACCTTCAACTGCTACTGCACACTCCGTAATGATACTGTCAGATGATCATTCATTCGTCAACTCTAAGGCTGGTTTCCTCGATAAGAGCCGAGTATCTATGCTGAAGCAAGACTGAATTCTTCTATTTCTTTTCAGTGCTAGCTCATTTATTAGCTTCTTGCCTATCAGTTTCTGTTGTTCCTTCTTCAAGTCTAGGCAAATTGAGACCTTACCATTCTATGGTCTCTGAATCCTGTCTTGCCAAGAACTTCCACATCCTGCACGATGCCTGGTGTGCACTCAGCATAATCTATTTCCTTCTTACTTTCACCATTAGTGCTCCTCCATGTCCACTTACGGTTCCTTCGTTTTGGTAAAAGGTATTCGAGATCCTATTTCATTGCGTTCTGCGAATTCTACTAATAACTGCTCTCTGCCATTTCTAGTACCAGTGACATAATCTCTTACTGCCATATCTCTAGCCTGCTTTTTCCTTACATAAGCATTGAAGTCGCCCATCAGTATAGTATACTGTGTTTTTACCCTACTCATTGCTGATTCTTGTCCTCATAGAAGCTTTCAGCTAGTGCGTTATCATGACTGGATGTAGGCGCGTAAGCCTGTACCACCCTCACCTTGTATCTCTATTGAGTTTAATTACTATACCTACCACCCTTTCATTATTGCTGTAGTATTCTTTTATGTTACCAGCTATATTTCTGTGGATAAGGAACCCTATGCCGAGTCCTCTTCTGTAGCACTGTAAGGCCTCATATGTCCTCCTAACCTCATTGAGCCCTATTACATCCCATTTAACCCCCTCTAGCTCCTCGAATAGTACAGCTAGACTTGCCTCACTAATAAGGTTCTAGCGTTTCACATTGCCAAAATCAGGTTCCAATGGCGGCCTGTACGGACCCAGAGATTCTTAGCACCCTCGCGGGCTTTGCAGATCTCACCGCCACAGTGGTCAGCTGCTTCGCAGCTGCTGCGGACTGAGAACCGTATGTTAATTGACGTATGCATGTGGAGTTGGTTGGTTGCGAAACTTATTGAGGTCCTGCAAGGCGCGCGTCAGCGCGCAGCGGGCGACTCCCACGTCGGGACCGTTAGGCCAAGCCTATCGGCCGCTCCGCGGGCCTGCTGGACGGCCCAAAGTTGGTCGGCCAGGAGGGAGCTGCGTAGGGCCGCCTCCCACCTGACCGATGTAGTGTTGGGGTTAGTGTACATTGCCTTGCACTCCCAGAGCATGTGCGCCAGCGTGGATACATCCCCACATGCGGGGCAAGCGTCATTGGGAAACACGTCAGGATATAGCGTGAAGGGATCTCAGGTTAGGGTACGTGTCGGTTGCAGTAGTCTGAGCGTAAGGGCCTGTGGCCTATTAAGATTTGGATGAGGGAGTGGATATAGTCTCCGCGCGAGGTAAAAATATTTTGTTATTTCGTTGTACGTGGCAGGCGCGTCCCTGTTTTCCGCAACCCCGTTGGCCCCGAATCGTTGCCCGGAACCCGCGCGGTCGGTTAGTGCGCGCGCGGCCTCGTGGGCAGACTCGTTGAGGTTGGGGGGAGCGCCTTGGACCTGTCCAACATGTGCAGGAAACCAAATCAGTACGTGGTGCTTGATGCCGTCGCGGCCACCACTTTGGAGCACGCGCAGGGCTTTTTGGAGATTACACCGCTCGAAAGCGCGAATAGCTGACCTAGAGTCACTATAGATGACCTCCCTTTCACCTTCCAGGATGGCCAGGGCGATGGCCACTTGCTCGGCAATCGTCGGATCGTCAGTGTGAACCGATGCGCAGTTGGTGATTTGTTGTTTGGAGTCGACGACGACTGCGGAGAAGGCGCGGCTCCCACGGTACGCTGCCGCGTCGACAAAGCTGACGCCGTGCTCCTCACTGTGAATCTGCTTGAGAAGAGTGGCAGCTCTAGCCCGTCGCCTACCACGATTGTGCTCGGGATGGACATTCCTCGGTATCGGTGCCACGGTGATGAGGTCACGAATCTCACGGGGCACCTGTCTCATCTTCTCGTCCACTTCAGCCGGAGAGTGACCGAGCTCTCGGAGTATATGTCTGCCGGTCTGGGAGCTCGAAAGGCGCGCGAGCTGGGCCCGCTCCTGCGCTTCGGCAATCTCCTCCAACGTATTGTGTACTCCGAGCTGGAGCAGGCGCTCGGTGCGCGTCCTGATCGGGATACCGAGGGCCCGCTTGGTAATCTTTCTGAGCAAGACGTTGATCTTGTCACGCTCGGCACGCTGCCAATTGTGCATGGCTGCGACATATGAAAAGTGGCAGAGCACAAATGCATTGACCAGGCGGATTAGGTTGTCTTCCTTGAGGCCTTGGTAGCGGTTGGCCACCCGCCGAACCAGCCGAACCGCGTTATCCGTCTTGGCGGCGAGCTTGAGTATAGTCTTGCCGTTGGAACCATTGGACTCGATGGTCATGCCGAGGACCCGAATGGAGTCGACTCTGGGTATTACGCTGCCATCTCCGGTGTAGAGCTTGATATCACTCTTCGAGATCGGCTGCCAGTTTTTGGGCTTGGGCCCTCGCCTAGTGGGTTGGTAAAGGAGGCTCGGACTTGCTTGGGGAACACCTCAGGCCTGTGGGACGGAGGTAATCTTCCGTGGTGTCTATGGCCTCCTGCAGGAAGCGCTCGACTTGCCCGTCGCTGCCACCTGTGCACCAAATGGTAATATCGTCCGCGTAAATTGTGTGGTTAATGCCTTCGATACATGAGAGCCTCTTGGACAACCCGACATGACAAGATTGAACAGGGTGGGCGATATCACTGACCCTTGTGGCGTGCCGCGCGATCCCAGCTCTATCTCCTCGGAGACAAGGTCTCCCACACTGAGGGTGGCTCTCCTACGGGTCAAGAACGATTTGATATATTTGTAGAATCTGACTCCAAGGCCGAGCTCAGCAATCGACCGCAACACGAAAGAGTGAGTAACATTGTCGAAGGCTTTCTCTAAGTCGAGGCCGAGAATGGCCCGCATGTCTCGAGTGTTGCAGTCGATGACTTGGTGCTTGAGCAGCTTCATAGCGTCTTGCGTCGAAAGCTTGGCCCGAAAACCAATCATAGTGTACGGGTAGATCCCATTGTCTTCCAGGTACCGAGTCAACCTATTGAGGACCACATGCTCGGCTACCTTTCCCACGCAGGATGTGAGCGAAATGGGGCGCATGTTGTCCAAGTTGGGTGACCTCCCCGGCTTAGGAATGAGCACGGTGCGTGCGACCTTCCACGGGTCGGGGACCTCGCCGCTCTTCCATGCCTCGTTGATGACTCGGTGAGGTAGTCGATTGACCGGTCGTCCAGGTTGCGCAGGGTCTTATTAGTTATGCCGTCGGGGCCCGCGGCAGACCTCCATTGAGCCCGTAAAGCGCCTGCCGAACCTCTTCGTGGCATATCTCGGCGTCCAGTTCAGTGTTGGCTGGTCCTGAGTACTCGGGTACGTTGTTGTTGCGGGGTTCGAGTCGACGGGGAGGTACTTTTGCACCAGCTGCTTCAAAACCTCCTCTTCTGAAGAGGACTGCTTGGCTTCGTGCATGGCTCGCGCTAGTACGTTCC